AAGGATCAACCAATGAATGCATAAGTGGAACAACAAATTGATATTTCTTTCTTTCTCTCTTTCTTCCCCCCTCCTTTTTCTCTCTCTAAAATCAATAAATAAAAATAATGATAATTTGACCAACAAAAAAATAAAATAATAATTTGACCACATGTGCAAGGCTTTATTTCTAGGCTCTCTATTCTGTGTCTTCAATTTCTTTCTGAAATGTTTTATAGTTTTCATTGTACAAGTCTTTCACTTCTTTAGTTAATTCCTAAGTAATTATGCTTTTTTAAAAAAAAATACGTTTTTTATTGATTTCAGAGAGGAAGGGAGAGGGAGCGAGAGATAGAAACATCAATAATCAGAGAGAATCATAGATAGGTTGCCTCCTGCACACCCCTTACTGGGGATCGAGCCCACAACCCAGGCATGTGCCCTTGACAGGAATCGAACCTGGGACCCTTCAGTCCACAGGCCAACGCTCTATCCACTGAGCCAAACCAGCTAGGGCAGTAACTATGCTTTTTGATGCTATTATAAACAGAATTGTTTTTGTAATCTCCTTTTCAGGTTAGTGTATAAAAATGCAACTGGTTTTTGTGTGTTGACTTTGTATCCTGCTATTTTTGCTGAGTTTATTTATTAGATCTAACAAAAAATTTTTGTGGAGTCTCTAGTAGGATTTTCTACATATGAGATCATCTCACCTGTAAACAGAAATAGTTTTACTTCTTTCTAATGGATGTCTTTTATTTCTTTATCCTGTCTAATTGCTCTGGCTGAACTTCCAGGATCATATTGAATGGAAGTGGTGAGAGTGGGCATCCTGGTCTTGTTCCTGATCTTAGAGGAAAAGCTTTCAGTGTTTTACCATTAATTTTGATGTGCACTGTGGGTTTTTCATACATGGCTTTTATTATGTTGAGGTTGTTCCCGTCTGTTCCTATTTTGTTGAGTGTTTGTATCATGAAGGCATTGAATTTTGTCAAATGATTTTTCTACATCAATTGAAATGACCTTGTAGTTTTTCCCTTTATTTTGTTGATGTGGCATATTACATTGATCCATATGCGTATGTTGAACAGATTTCTTGCATGCCAGGAATAAATTCCACTTAGTCATGGTGTATAATCCCTTTAATACACTGCTGAATTCAGTTTGCTAGTATTTTGTTAAGTATTTTCATATCAGTGTTCATAGGGGATATTTGTCTGTAGCTTTCTTTTCTTGTAGTGTCTTTGCTGGTCTCCTAGAATGAGTTAGGAGTGTTTCCTCCTATATTTTGGAAAGATTTGAGAAGGATTGGTATTAGTTTAATTCCATTGTGGTCTGAGAGCATACTTGATGTGATTTCTATTCTGTTAAATTGGTGAAGGTGTTTTGTAGGACCCAGAATGTAGTCTGTCTGGGTGAATGTTCCATGTGAACTTAAGATGTGCCTTCTGTTGTTGGAATGAAGTAGCTCTTAAGGGTCTCCAGAGAAACAACCAATAGGGTGTGTGTGTGCGTGCGTGCGTGCGTGTGTGTGTGTGTGTGTGTGTGTGTGTGTAGAGAGAGAGAGATACATAAGAAGAGAGATTTCTTAGGAATTGGCTCCCGAGATTATGGATGACAAGCTAGAGAGCCAGGAGAACTGGTAGGTCAGTTTAGTCCCTGTCCAAAGGCCTGAGAATTAGAGGGTGTAGGAGATGAATCCTGGTCTGAGTCCAAAGGCCCAAGTGCCAGGAGTATAGATGTCCAAACAGAGAGCAGATTCTCCCTTCGTTTTGTTCAGGCCCTCGGTGCACTTATAGGAGGGCCTCTGCTTTATGCAGTTCTCCAAGTCAGATGCTAATCCCTCTAGAAGTATCATCACAGACACACACAGAAAGAATGTTTTACCAGCTCTCTGGGCATCATCTTCACCCAGTCAGGTTGACACATAAAATTAACTATAGTACCTACAGATGTCAGATATGTCCAGTTGATTAATAGTGCCGTTGAGTTCGTGTCCTAAATGCTTTCCTGCCTGCTGGACCTGTCCATTCTGTAGAGTGTGTTGATGTCCCCACCTGTGACAGTGGATTTGTCTGTCGCTACTTGAATTCTGTCAGTTTTGTCTCACGTGTGTTTGATGCCCTGTGTTAGTACATAGACATCAAGGATCAGTGTGTCTTCTTTGAGAACTGACACCTTTGTTGTTATGTAATTCCCCTCTTTACCCCATAACTTTCTTCTCATGAAGTCTGCTTCACCTGAGACTAATTTGTTTACTCCAACTTTCTTTGATTCAAGTTCTCATGATACATCTTTCTCTGTATCTACTTTAATCTATGTTTTTATAAAGTGGGTTTCTTATAGACAACAGGGTGATGGGTCTTTTTAATCTACTCTGACAGTCTCCTTTTTGTTTGTTTGTTTTGTTGTTGTTAATCCTCACCCGGGGATGTTTTTTCCATTAATTATTAAGAGAGAGTGGAAGGGAGGGAGAAGCGGAGAGAGAGAAAGAAAACATGGATGTGAGACACATCGATTGGTTGCCTACCATATGCACCCCAACTGGGGGCTGAGGATCGAGCCTGGAATCAAGGTTTGTGCCCTTGGCCTGAATCGAATTGAGACCCTTCAGTCCCCAGGCTGATGCTCTAACCAGTGATGGCGAACCTGTGACACGCGTGACACGCGAACTCATTTTTTTGGTTGATTTTTCTTTGTTAAATGGCATTTAAATATATAAAATAAATATCAAAAATATACATCTTTGTTTTACTATGGCTGCAAGTATCAAAAAATTTCTATATGTGACATGGCACCAGAGTTAAGTTAGGGTTTTTCAAAATGCTGACAGGCCGAGCTCAAAAGGTTCGCCATCACTGCCTAACTGCTGGTTTTGCTAAACCAACTAGGGCAGTCTTCGTCTTTTAATTGATATACTTAGAGCTGGTATACTTAGACCATTCACTTCAAAGTGATTATTGCTCCAGTGGGATTAATATATGTTGTGTTTATAACTACTCTCTATTTGGTTTTGTTTTCTTTCTGTACTTTCTGCCTTCTCTGGTTTTAATTGAGCATTTTATTTTATTTTAATTTCTCCCCTTCCTTAGCATATCAGTTATTCTGGTGTGGCTCAAGAGTTGAGTGTCGACCTAAGAACTAGGAAGTCGCAGTTTGATTCCTGGTCAGGGCACATGCCTGGGTTGCGGGCTCTATCCCTGTCAGGGGGCATGCAGGAGACAGCCAATCAATGTTTCTCTCTCATCCTATATAATCCTATATAATAAAAAGCTAATATGCAAATCGACCAGTAGAACAACCAGTCGCTATGATGCGCACTGACCACCAGGGGGCAGGTGCTCAATGCAGGAGCTGCCCCCTGGTGGTCAGTGCACTCCCACAGGGGGAGTGCCGCTCAGCCAGAAGCCCTGAGCTGGGCTCACCACTGGTGAGCACAGTGGTAGCATGAAGGGTGTCCTATTGACAGCTTGCAGGGAGCAGGCCTAAGCTGTCAGTTGGACATCCCCTGAGGGCTCCTGTACTGTGAGAGGGCGCAGGCCATGCTGAGCGACCCTCCCTACCCCCCTGACAAGTGCACGAATGTCATGCACCGGGCCTCTAGTCATTGATGTTTCTGTCTCTCCCTTCCTCTCTCTGAAACCAGTGTGTTTTTTTCATATATTTTATTGATTTTTTACAGAGGGAAAGGGAGAGGGATAGAGAGTTAGAAACATCGATGAGAGAGAAACATCGATCAGCCGCCTTCTGCACACTCCCCACTGGGAATGTGCCCGCGACCAAGGTACATGCCCTTGACCAGAATCGAACCTGGGACCCTTGAGTCCGCAGACTGCCGCTCTATCCACTGAGCCAAACCGGTCAGGGCTGAAATCAGTTTTTAAAAAAAACACCACAAATGGCCATATGTCTGTTCCTTAAAGACAGAACACTGTCTTATGCTGGCATCTCCAAGGTTTCACATTGTGTCTGGCATGTACATGGCTGGTAATTGAAGCAGCAGAACTTGAATTAATAACTTGCACATTCCTGTGCTATAAGAACTGTGGTGATGCCTTCCCATTTAACGGGTGATAAAGCGAGGGCCTTGCTATTTCTTTATCTGTTGTGCCATGCCAGTGGGACCCAAACAGATCCCACTGGTAGTGTGCTAGGTAGTGTCCTCTCCACTGGGGATGGCTAGTGCTAGGCAAGCAGCAGGCAGTCTTTGCTCTCCCTACCCTGCTATGCTTTGCAGTTAGTATCATTTCCAGTGTGCTGGGGTGGGAAACAATGTTGTCACAGAGTACTGTGAGGGTGGGAGGTGCCAGGAAGAAGTCTGTCTCTAGGTCTCAGTGAGTATTTCCTGTCATTGAGTCCAGGTCCCCTATGCTGATACATTTGCCAAGAGACAGAGCAGTCTGAGTGTCCATTTTAAAAGACGGGAGGAGTGGGCGGCTAGCACTCTGAGACAGACAGAAAGCGACATGTTTCCAGAGTTACTGTTCGGAAAGAAGCAGCTTTGCTATGTGCCTGGCTGCCTGACATTTTCCCTGTTGAAAAGTCATTTCCCTCTGTCGTCAGTGGAAGTAGCTGAGGGTGGAGGTCCCCCTTTATCCTCCACACAAGACATGTGACCTCTCTGGCCTGACTGACCTTCATAAAATTCAACTTGACATCTCCTCCCAGCTGCTAGGACTGGGTCATCTCCTGGTCTGTCTTTGTCTTCCATTTTTTTCTGAGGAGTCATCTTTTTTCTTTTATTTATTTATTATTAAATCTTTATTGTTGAAAGTATTACATATGTCCCCTTTCCCCCCCACATTGACCCCTTGTAGCCTGCCCCACCCCAGACCTTCACCACCCTATTGTTTGTGTCCATTGGTTATGCATATATGTGTACAGGTTCTTCAAGTTCTTCAGTTGATCTCTTCCCGCCCACCTACCCTCCCCCCACCTTCCCTCTCAGATTTGAGGAGTCATCTTTTATAGGGAACTACAGTTCCCAGAATGCATTCTTTAGGTTTGGCATTCACTTCCTGCCGAGCTCTTTAACAGCCAGGTGCAAACATTTCCCGTCAATTGGAAGAAAACAACCTTGAAGAACCTTGCTGGTGTTCGGAGTTTAGAAAATTTAGGGATGGGTAAGCCTTCTTTCGCTGCCTCAGGCCAAAAAATGAAAATTTAAGTTTCTTGGAGAAAATGTACTGTTTTTTGCATATTGGTTGACTTTAATAAAAGAAAAATGAAATCCAGAAAAAAATGCATAGGAAAGCTTGTCAAATTTACTTGAAGAAGTTGAAAGTGGCAAATAGATTTAGATCCTGTATTATTATACTTTTTATTTGACTTTAAAATTCATTTTATTTTTATAATGAAGTATAATTTATGTAGGTAAAATACACAGATCTTAAGGTATAGTTAATGAAATTTAACAGGCTCATGTAACCTGACATTTGGATTTTAGAGTTATTTTGTTGGTGGTTCTCCTCCCTCAAAGCTTCAGTGAAAACAGGAAAGATGCGGCCAGACAGGTTGGAGCAGTGGAGGAACCTGTGGGCACTGCTGGCGAGGGTCATGGAACCCACCTGCCTGCTGATTATTTACTGCCAGTCCTGGTGTCCTGTTCAGATTAAAATTCCTTACAGTTAAAAGCAAATAACAGCAAGCCGAGACCAAATGTGCAATGTTTCTCAAGAGTAATTAGATATCCTGGTGCAGACATCTCAGGGCACATGCCTGGGTTTCTGTCTGTCTCTCCTTCTCCCTTCCTCTCTAAAATCAATACAAATATATTTTAAAAAGAAAAGGAGTATCCTCTAGTTTTCAGCTACCAAGTTTGTGTATCCATCAGAAGTGCCTTATTTATCATGCTATGTAGGTATTTCATTTTTGTATTTTATTCACTTGGACATCGACATGAATTGATATTTCCTTTAACTCCTTTCTGTCAATGTGCATCTCTTCAGTAATTTCCACTACCTAAATGCTGCTGCTATGTCTGGTGCACGAGCACCCACATCGTAGTCCCTTCAGCCACTGTGTGGCTTAAACTTTGTTTGACCTGACAGTAGGGGCTTGACCCTCTTTCTTCCCAATGTGTCTGCCCCACTTTCTGAAACACCTTTCTGAGTCACTTGATTTAGTGCCTCTCTTGTTCATAGCACAGGAGTTGGTGTCTTGCTTTGTGATCCATCTGAAAAGCTTTTTCTTTATTATGTGAGTTCAGGTGTGGTTGCGTTTAGCTCTTATTATTTATATTGTGCCTGTGCTTTTTCTTTTTAAAATATTTTTATTGATTTCAGAGAGAAAGGGGCAAGGGGAGAGAGAGAGAGTGAAAGAGAGAGAGAGAGAGAGATAGAAACAACAATGATGAGCCCAGCCATCATAGCTTAGTAGTTGAGCCTCCGGTGTGCAGGAGGCAGCCGATCAATGATTCTCTCTCATCGTTGATGTTTCTATCTATCTCTCCCTCTCCCTTCCTATCTGAAATCAGTGAAAATATATTTTTTTAATAGAAAGAAAGAAAGATCAATGATGAGAGAGAATCATCGATCAGGTGCCTCCTGCAGGCCCCCTATTGGGTATCAAGCTGGCAACCTGGGCATGTACCCTGACTGGGAATCGAACCATGACCTGCTGGTTCATAGGTTGATGTTCAACCACTGAGTCACACAACGCGTGTGTTTCCGTGGACTGTGTTCAGTACTTACTGTGTTTCCTTTTGCCATCATTTTTTGTTGTATCTTGGTGAAGTCTGCCTTCTAGTAACATCCTCAGGGACAGTTCACAGGAGCCGTGTTCCCTGAATGTTGAGACTGTCCATAGCATGAGCTCATATGTAACTTAAATTTTTTTTTATCACTAGTCCACCCTACTCTTACTTTTATTGTGATAATAAACACCTTTTTGCCTGGTCCCGAATGCCACAGACCAGTCCACAGCCACCCGACTTTGTACCGTTGGTGACTCAGGTCAATCCATCATGGCTGTGGCCGCTTACCCTGCTTTTCAGTCCCTGAGCCTTGTGTAACTTAAAATTTTCTTAAGAGCCACATTAAAAAGGTAGAGAGAAGCAGGTTAAATTAACGTTCATAATGTATTTTGTTTAACCCAATGTTATCTAAAACATCATTTTCACGTGTAACCCACCAATACTTAAAATTACTAAGGTATTTGTTTTGGAAACCCAGTATGCTGTACACTTAAAGCATACCTTAGTGGACCAGCCACGCTTCCAGTGCTCTCATGTGTCCCCCAGAGGCCCTGTTGGGCAGCACAGGTCTGTGGCCTGCCTGTAGAGGAAGTAGTGGTGGCTGTAGAATCCATGGCTCACTTTCTATTGCTGCATCTTGTAAGTGTGGTGTTGATGTCTTCTGCCACTGAAGTTGCCGTGGAGAAACCACTGTCCTGCTTTCCTGCTCTGTGGCCTCTCCTGTTCTGATTTTCATATGAATGGAGTCAGGCCATATGAGGCTTTTAATGTCTGGTTTCTTTCCCTTAGCACAACGTTTTCAAGGCTTTGCTATGTCTTAGTGAGTGTCTGTGCTTCGTGCCTCTCTATGGCTGAGTAGCACTCTGTTGTCTGGATGGCCCCATTGTTTATCTGTCCAGTGAAGGGTTGTTTCCGTGTTTTGGCTGCTGTGATGCTGCTGTGAACACTCGTGCAACAGTGTTGTGTGTGGATGTGTTTTTTCGGGTCTCAGGTGGGCTTACTGTAGAGTCCTGACTCCAGCTCAGCCTGGGGAACCAACCACCAAACTTTTCCCAACAGTGGAGTGAGAGGGTCTCTAATCCTTATAATTTCATTTTCATTTCTTTTACCTTTTCCCTCCTCTTGAACTCTTGATTCTGAAGCTTTTATTCCTTAGCTGCATCAAAGACTGTAACTCACATTCTGATTTTAAATTGTTACTGTCTAACTAGAAGCCCGGTGCACGAATTTGTGCAGGGGAGGGGGGTCGATCAGGGCCTGCTGGCTGGGGGGAGGGACCGCAGGAGGTTGGCCGGCAGGCCCCGATCTCGTTGTGTAGATGTACTGAGGTAGTGGCAGGCAAAGACCACAGACAGAGTGCCCCAAAATGGCCTGAACACCAGCTAATCTCTGAGGTGGAAATACAGCTCTACTTCACTGCCCGCACTTGGGCAGCCTCACTCTCCCCGGGGCAGAGTTGCTGACAGACAGACAGATTGTCTCTCCTACCTCAGCCACACATTTTTTCAGAACTCTGCCCCCAAGCATGATAGGTAGCTGACTTCGGCCAATGGTGGCACACCGCCATAGGAGCGCTAGCCAATCAGCAGTTGGGAGCCCGGAAAGGCATGGAGCCAAACTAGAAGTGGCTGGTGGGGACAGAAGGTCAAGCGGTGCGCACGCATGGTTAGGTGGCAGAGGTTAAGATGGTGGTGGTGCTTACTTTATGTCTTTGCAGTTAGGCTGCTGCCTTGCCCCTTCTGCCCCTTCCGAGCTGCTACTCTGTCTCGATCGGGGTTGCTCTCCTCCTACAGGCTTCCCAGAACCAGATTCTCCAGGGCCTGGAGCCTTAGCTGGGGGGAGGGATAGGCCAGGGGGAGGGACCACGAGAGGTTGGCCAGCACAGGAGGTTGACTGTGGGAGCACACTGACCACCAGGGGGCAGCTCCTGCATTGAGCATCTGCCCCCTGGTGGTCAGTGTGTGTCATAGTTACTGGTTGACCATCATTCCAGTCGTTTGGTTGTAACAGTCGCTTAGGCTTTTATATATATAGATGTTTGTTCAAAATCACCAATTAAAACATTTGAGCATATTTCTTTCTTTATTGGAAGGACTTCTATTAATAATTTGATTTATTTTTCAGAGATACAACTGTTTCTTATATAAATTTATGTAGTTTATGTTAATGGAATTTGGTCACTTCATCTGCAATTGCACATTTGTGGGCATAGAGTTTTTTGTAGTGTTGCCTCTTATTTAATGTCTGAGATTATTGGCAATTACACAACTTTTTTTAAAAATATATTTTATTGATTTTTTTACAGAGAGGGAGGGAGAGGGATAGAGAGTTAGAAACACCAATGAGAGAGAAACATCGAAAAGCTGCCTCCTGCACACCCCCCCACTGGGGATGTGCCTGCAACCAAGGTACATGCCCTTGACTGGAATCGAACCTGGGACCCTTTAGTCCACAGGCTGACGCTCTAGCCACTGAGCCAAACCAGTCAGGGCTACACAACTTTTTTTAAAAAATGTGTTAAAATATAGATCAATAAAATATATATTTTTAAAAAATATATACAAAAATAGAATTTTCCATCTTTTATTTTTTATAAAATGAAAAATAAAATAAATTTTATTTTTTATTTATTTTTATTGTTGACTAGAGGCCCAGTGCACAAATTTGTGCACCAGTGGGGTCCCTCAGTCTGTATTGCGGGTTGGGCTGAAACTGGCTCTCTGACATTCCCCGAGGGGTCCTCGATTGCAAGAGGGTGCAGCCCAGGCTGATAGACCCCACCGGTTCACGATCGGGGCCGGGAGAGACGCAGGAGGTTGGCCAACCGGGGAGGGGCTACAGGAGAGCTGCAAGGCATGCCTAGCCCATCTCGCTCAGGCCAGACCCCAGCAGCAAGCTAACCTACCGGTCAGAGCGCCTACCCCTTGGTGGTCAGTGCATGTCATAGCAGCCGGTCAACTCTCTGCCCCCTAGTGGTCAGTGCATGTTATAACGAGCAGTTGAGCATCCTTAGCATATCATTAGCATATTATGCTTTGATTGGTGGAACAGACAACCAGACACTTTAGCATATTAGGCTTTTATATAGGAATTATGAAAGTTTTATTGGCCAAAGCTCTACTGTTGCCATCCTCACTGTCAAACTTTCTGTAAGCAATTTGAAAAGGAAACACTGAAAGGGAGCTTGCTATATTGGAAAGGAATGGATTTTCACCCCCATTCCTATTCAGGCTGTTACATTGCCCTCTGTGGGCCTAGAAGTCTATGCGCCATTCCCCGTTCTGCCCATTATGTTCTTATCTCGGGCTGGGGCTGCCACCAGCTGGCCACACAGTCTCCTCTTCAGTTCCCAGTTGTCTCAGCCTTGGTGGGACACTTCTCCAGCTCCAGAGCCCTTCACTTCCCTTCCTCCTGGATATTATTCTCCTAGGCTGCTTCCAATTTATAGCCAAAGGTTGTATAATTTCAAAGACCAAGGAGCTTCTGGAACTCCTATCTCTTCAATGGATTTCCTGTTCTCCCTCCATATAGGAGATACCACATTCTGACACTGATCTGCAAGATGACATTTACTCATTGTTTGGCCTTTTTCTCCCCCTCTTGACAGGTGGCTGGTAGCATGTTTAGAATCAGCAGGATCCGCTGTAAATTATGAGGCATGTGCTGACCGAGTGTGCTTCCACACAAAGCTCAGCAGGGCTCGGTCAGAAGGAGACCAGTGGACACGGAGCCACTGACTGTCTTTTCCATTTGTCCTCAGAGCCCCCCAAGATGAACCCAGTGGTGGAGCCGCTGTCCTGGATGCTGGGCACCTGGCTGTCAGACCCACCGGGAGCTGGGACCTTCCCAACACTGCAGCCCTTCCAGTACCTGGAGGAGGTGCACATCTCCCACGTGGGCCAGCCCATGCTCAACTTCTCGTAAGTGCACCTGAGTCTCCGGGAGAATGCCAGGTGGGAAGGGCATGTCCCAGAGAGGCTCCCTGCACTTGCAGCTAAAACGTGGTAGGCAGAGACAGGACGTTCTGGCTCCTGTGTATGTGATGATGCTAGGCTGGCAAGATGTCAGATGTGTTACCCCAAACACAAAATAAGTGCTCGTGTTTAACTCAACCCTTCACCCAATATTACTGAAAAGGAGAGAGCTCGACTTTCTTTTAGACTTACCCCTGAGCTGATTGAGGTTTCAAAGGAGCTGTTAATATTTTGGTTCTCAGGTTCTTATTAGACAACAAAGCAGAGGTCCTCCAGCTGTGTGTGTTTCACCCCAGCCCCAACCACAGGAGGCAGGTCGTAGTGTCAGGTGGCTAAATAGAAGGGAACCAGGGGAGGTGGCTGAGAATATTTTGTTTTTAATTTCAGAGATAACACACAGTTTTTAAAGTTTAAGCAGTGAAAAAATACTAAAAGTAAAAGTCTGCCCTTCCCCAATATCCGCTATACATTTAATTATATATTAAGAATCTTATTAAATTAACTTGATTCTATTTATGTCATGCCTAGAAACTTCAGAAGGATTTAGAAGACCTTGCATTTAAAAATATTATCTAATACCTTTTTGTATTATTCTTGACTGAATGGATGAGGGCAGAGTAATATTGTGTACGTAACACCAAAGAGGAAATTCTGGATAACACAAAATAACGGGCAGTATAAAACAGTCTTGTTAAACAGTGGGCTACAACCCAAAGATAATTTTGTGACTACAGAACAAAGTATCTCTTTTGGGGAATAGAATTGTGAGTGTGTTAGACTATGATCTAGAGCAGTGATGGTGAACCTATGACACACATGTCAGAGGTGACACGCGAACTCATTTTTTTGGTTGATTTTTCTTTGTTAAATGGCATTTAAATATATAAAATAAATATCAAAAATATAAATCTTTGTTTTACTATGGTTGCAAATATCAAAAAATTTCTGTATGTGACACGGCACCAGAGTTAAGTTAGGGTTTTTCAAAATACCGACACGCCGAGCTCAAAAGGTTCGCCATCACTGATCTAGAGTGTATTTTTCATAAGGGTTTAAGAGGGCATGTGCTGTGGCTGCCAGCGCTGCCCTGTTCAGGGTTCAATTCCAATGGCAGCTCGCAGTGCTGGCAAAGTTGTGTTAGAGTCTAAGTGCAGAACTGTCAGCGCAGATGTCTCTTCCATCACCGTGAACTTGCATCATGATGCAGGTTGATTGATAAGAAGTGGAGTCCTGACTCAGGGCCTGTTCTTTTCCCCACCGTGTAGATGAGTGGGTGTCCAAGGCAAGATGATAGCTCTGGGGAGGGCAGACCTGGTGTAAGGGTAGGATTTGGTGCTGAGCCCTGAAGCATGTCAGGTGTGGGCTCAAAGGGCTTTGGGAAAGGTAACCACAATTATAAAGAACATGTTGGCTGTCCTTGAGGTGGTGCCAAGCACAGTGGAGTATTTGTGTGGGGAGGTTCCAGGAGCTGCTTTCAGGCTAGAGATTGAACCCCTAATGCACCTGGGGGCCAAAGCCCACGAATGTGGTTGCTCAAGTGTCTTTCCATGTGAGCGAGAAGTGTATTACCTTGTGCTCAGTGGGGGTCTTATGAAGTGGGGATGGGGGCGCAAAGCCTGCATTGAGGGCCCTGCATCCCTGCCCTCACCTATGCCCTGTCCCCACCCCCTGTTCCCCGTGCAGATTCAACGCTTTCCACCCGGACACTCGGAAGCCCATGCATAGAGAGTGTGGCTTCATCCGGCTACAACCCGACACCAACAAGGTGGCCTTCGTCAGCGCCCAGAACACAGGTACCTCTTGCCAGCCAGCCAGATGGCCCCTGGGTGAGGTAGCATCTGCCTCTGCTCTTTCAGTCGCTCCAGTGTCCCTGCTCACAGACATTTTGTAGGGGTCAGTTGGGAGGGGGACACAGACCTAATCCTGTGGGTCCCTTTCAGGGCAGGAAGCATCAGGAGAAGTGCAGTGGGGCCTGCAGGTGGGGAGTCAGCAGGTGGAGTCCTGTCTGCAGTCTCTGAGGTCCACAGGGGGTGGTAAAGGAGTGTTTCTGTGAGAACGGGCTGATTTTTTTTTCCGCCTGAGTTCCTTCAATGACAGCACACTCCCCGGCTCCCTGGTGTTTCCTATGGGACACGCCCCTAGGGAGAGAGCTAGACCAGGGAGGCTCACTGTCCATCTGAAAGCTCTTGTCTGGAAGTCTGCTTTGCCCCTAGAATGAGGTCATTCTAAAATAGCTTACCAGGTTCATCAATTAGAAATGACGCAGAACCCAGCTGTTGACTTTTACCTGCTCACTGCCTCAGATGAGTCTCACTTCCTGGAAGCAGGTGGACAGTTAGGACCAGCCCAATCTGGAATGGAGCACAGGACATTGGTGGACTGCAAGTCAGTGGGCAGCCAGAGGGATGTCCATTTCCCTGGCCACCTTTCCCTCCTCTCAGATCCTAGGGGATCTATTTGAGGCGAGTGGGGAAGGCAGGTGGAAGTCAGGGCACCCCTGGAGAGGTTGACCCTCTGTAGATCACCTGCCCTGGCTGTACTAATATGAGGAGTTGTGTTTTTCCCCTCTTGATATCAGGAGGTTCATTGCAGACAAGGGGCCTTGTGGCCTTGATGGCTGCAGAGTTCAGGTCTGTTGAATCTATGAATGCAAAGATGCACAGCCAAGAGCCCATGGCAGGCTGTCATGGACTGATGGCCTCTCTTGCAGGTATTGTGGAGGTGGAGGAGGGCGAGGTGAACGGGCAGGAGCTGTGCATCGCATCCCACTCCATCGCCAGGATCTCCTTTGCCAAGGAGCCCCACGTGGAGCAGGTGAGCCTGTCATCCCTCTCAGACATCACTTTGTGGTGTAGGCAGGATTGCACATTGTTCTGACTTCTCACTGTGTCTTGGGGACCTGTCTGTCTCCAGGGCACATCATTCTTCCTCACTTACATGTCCTGGCTGGTAGGCAGGGAGATTCTCAGGTTCCTTGTTTTTCTGTCACAAACATCCTTTTCCATTTGTGTTGTCCACTTTTGCAGGCATATCCACATCTGTTGGATAAATTTCTCCCAGTTAAATTGTTGGATCAAAGGATAGGTACATTTAAAATTTTGATAGATACAAATAAATTCCTTTTATTAATGAATTCCTACCAGCATTGCATGAGTGCCTGGTTCCCTACTCCTTTATCAACATGCTAATCTGATAAAGACGAGATTGCATCTCATTTGTGTTTTAAATTTAACATATGAGTGAAAGGGAGGACTCCCCACACTCATTCACCATTGGTATTTCTTATTCTGTGTACTTGATGTTTAAAGTCATTGACCGTTTTTCTGTGGGCTTTCATTTTTTTTTATTGATTTATGGGGGCTTTTTATATACTATGGATATTAATCTATTGTCTGCATTTCCCCATTTGGTGGCTGTGTGACTTTGGTTTATGATGTGTTCTACCCATAGGTTGTAAGCTTTACTGTGATTGCCTCTGGGGGTCTTTTCCTTTGCAGTGTGTGGATTTGGATTCATGCTCAAAAAATTGTTTTCTCCAAAATGATAAAATTATTCTTCCATTTTTCTTGTACTCTTATAGCTTTCCTTCTTACACTCAGACCTTTAGTTTCTCTCAGATTTGTTTTTACAGGATGCAATGTATAGTTCTGACTTTCCTCAGATGGATGAACGGTGACCCTACAGATTTGAAATGTCATGCCTATCACAAGCACATCCCCCATAAATAGGGGGAGAGGCCTGTTTCTTTTTGTCTTTTTTTTTTTTAATATATTTTATTGATTTCTTACAGAGAGGAAGGGAGAGGGATAGAGAGCCAGAAACATCCATGAGAGAGAAACATGGATCAGCTGCCTCCTGCACGCCCCCCACTGGGGATGTGCCCGCAACCAAGGTACATGCCCTTGACCGAAATCGAACCTGGGACCCTTGAGTCCGTAGGCCGAAGCTTTATCCACTGAGCTAAACTAGTTCTGGCTCTTTTTGTCTTTTTTCAATAGTAATTTAAAATCATCTAATAATTTAAAGTTACCAGACTTTGTTATATTTTAATGTCATGGGAAAATTCTTGATTTTTAAAATATTCTTGATTAGCTCTGGCCAGTGTGGCTCAGTTGATTGGAGTGACATCCCATGAAACCAAAAGGTCTTGAGTTTGATTCACATACCTAGATGGCAGGTTTAATCCCCGGTTCAGGAACATGTAGGCGGGAACCAATAGATGTTTCTCTCTCCCTCTCTTTCTCTTCCTCTCTCGATAAATCAACTTAAAAAAACAACACATCACCTGGCCTGTGTGGCTCAGTTGGTTGAGTGTTGACCCATGCAGCAGGAGGTCACTGGTTCAATTCCCAATTAGGGCACATGCCTGGGTTTCAGGCTCAATCCCCATTACAGACATACAGGAGGCAGCCAATTGGTGTTTCTTATCTCATCAGTGTTTCTCTCTCACCCTCCCTCTCCCTTCCTCTCTCTGAAGTCAATAAAAACATATTTTAAAAATACACATATCCTTAAGTGAGGATTTTTTTTAAATGCTAACTTTTCTTGGTTAATTCTTAAGCAGTTCCTCATTGAGATAACCTGTTCAATGAGCTTGTCCAGGTCCATAAAATATAAATCAAGATTGTGTGAATACACGAATTAAATGGGGGAGAACTGGAGTCTTTCCATGGGTAGTGCTACAGAGCAGCGTGATGGTGTGCTGCAGTACTTTCAGGTCTAGTGTGGTGTGTTCAGTAGATATCAAAAGTGTATTTCTTTATCACTTAAATCATACAGGTTTGGCCACTCCGTGGTACGGTGAAACCTTAAGTGCCATATAGTTTCTGTTGCTATGTGCATAGACTGTTGTCTCCATTTCATCTTCTAACTGGTTTTTGGTGGTTATAAGGAAACGCATGGTTTCTGTGTGTTTCTGTCCATTTGAGTCACATCTGTCAGTCTCTGACCACCGGGTCTGGGCATGGCACTGCCAGGGTCACGGGGGAACCTGTTGACCTCAGGCCTGACTTCTGAGGTACTGCTGTGTCACAGTCCTGTTGGATGCTTGCTGGAGGCCCTGGCCGGGTCAAGAAGATCCTCTTTCTAGTGTGCTGAGAATTGTTTTCAAGAAAGGGTTTTGAGTTTCTTCAAATGCTCTTGCAGCCTCTTTGGGGAAGATTCTGTGTTTTTTCCACTTGAAGCTGTCAATGCAGTGAATTATATTAATAACTCTAAATGTTGAGTCATGTTTGAAGATCACTTCTGGTTATAATGAATTAAATAATTTTTTCAGATGTTGTCCATTTTGGTATCAGTTATTCATAGAGCTCCTTAGCTGTTTCTTCCTCCTGTCAGGGGTGGCTCCACAGGACTAAGTGGTGACCCCCTTGGGAACATGTCTTGGCCGGGCACTGGGGAGCAGAGGGACCCAGACCTGGATGCTGCTTCTGCCTCCACTGTTCATCTCCAGGCCTACCTCACTTCATTTGTAAATTCACAGCTCCTTATATCAAGATTTTCAGAGTTTGGAGAAGTGACACATATGTCCCCTTGGATTTTCTGTGTCTTCTCTTTTTCTTGCCAGAGGCTTCCTATTTTATCAGGGTTTTCGCTAGAGAACTAACTTTGGGTTTTATTAATTAAACAAAAAGTGCTATTTTGCAAAAGGAGGGAGTCGGCAGAGGTGAGGCCTGTGGGAGGGGGTCAAGAGGAGGGCTCCACTCTGCATAGTGACCTGGCTGACCAGAGGCTGGTCTCACATGTCTGGTTGACTTTCCCCCCTGGGTTGGCCTTTCCCTGTGAGTTTACCTTTCCCCTTGGCTTGACCCTTACTATGTTCTCTTGGGTTAAATATTCTTAGCATTCTGTTTTATTTCTTCTGTTAGTTTCTTAACTGTATCTTTTTTTAATGGCTGCTTTCAGGCTATCTGCATCTTAACTTAAAATCAGTGTTATACCATTGCATTCCCACTTTCCACCTGATTTTGGATAATCCTGTGCTCTTTGCAGCTGAACTTTCCATTTCATGAGTCCTAACCTCACAGCTCTGTAACTCCATTTACTCTCCTGTGCTGCTGTCACCACACCTGGTCCATGTGAGGGATGGGCACACAGACACACTACAGTAGGAACCTTCATAGAATTGTTACTTTTGCTTAAAATAGTCAGTTGACTTCCAAACAAATTATAATGAGGGGAAGTAATCTCTTATACTTATCCATTTATTTTCTCTATGTGTTGCCCTTGCCTCCTTCCTGCCACCCTAAAATTCCAGTGGTACTATCTCCCTTCATCCTGAAGACCTGCATTAACAGTATTTCTCATAACACAAATCTGGCAACAGTGCTCTTGAGTTTATTTCACACCCAACTTTTTTTCCTTTTTCAATGTTTTTATATTGAGTTGAAATACATATAAAAAAATTGATCATCTTAACCATTTTGAAGTGTCCACCTCAGTGATTTCTATAATTCACTTTGTTGTGCAGCCATCCCCATCATCCATCCCCATAGCTCTTGTATATTTGAAACACTATCTATGAAACCATAACTCCCCTTTCTCCCCTCCCCCAGCCCCTGGCGGCCACCATCTACTTTCTCTCTGTGATTTTTTTTTTTTTATTGCTTAAAGTATCACAAAGAGTATTACATATGTCTCCTTTTTTTTTTTTTTTCCCGCCCTTGACAATCCCCTGGCCTCCCCTACCCTCCAGTGTCTTATGTCCATTGGTTATGCTTATATGCATGCATACAAGTACTTTGGTTGATCTCTTACTCCCCCTTCCTGCCCCCCCCTCTGTGATTTTAATGACTCTTAAATACCTCATATAAGTGGAATCATATAATATTTGTCTTTTCATGACTGGCTTATTTTATCAGCATAATGTCCTCAAGGTTCATCCATGTTGTTGCACATGGCAGGATTTCCTTCCTTTTTATGGCTAATATTCCCTTGTGTGAATGGAACACATTTTGTTTAACCTTTCCTCTGTCCATGGACACTTGGATTGCTTCCGTGGGTGTGCACATATCTCTGAGACCCTCATTTCAATTCTTTCAGTCTGTATTCAGGAGTGGAATTGCTGGATCATATGGTAACTCTGTGTTTAATTGTTTGAGGAACCATTATACTGTTTTCCACAGAAGCTGCACCATTTTCCATTCCCATCTCCTATGAACAGGGCTCCAGTTTCTCCACGTCCTCGTCAACACTTGATATTTTCTGGGGTTTTGATAGCAGCCATCTTGATGAGTGAGGAGGCATCACTGTGGTTTGATTTGTGTTTCCCATGGTCAGTGCTGCTGAGCATCTTTTCATGGGCTTGTTAGCCATTCATGTATCTTTGCAGAAATGTCTATTCAAGTCCTTTGTCCATAGTTGAACAGGGTTATTTGGGTTTTTTTTGTTTGCTTGTTTTTTACAGTGAAATTCCAGCAATCTTTGTGATTGTTGGGAACTCTTCTTTTATTAAAAATATATGTTTTTAGAAAGAGAAGAAAGGGAGAGAGATATAGAAACATCAATGAGCTCTGGCAAGTTTGGCTCAGTGGATAGAGCATCGGCCTGCAGACTGAAGGATCCCGGGTTCGATTCTCGTCAAGGGCACATACCCAGGTTGTAGGCTCGATCCCCAGTAGAGGTGTTCAAGAGGCAACCGATCAATTATTCTCTCTCATCATCAGTGTTTCTCCCTCTCACTTCTTTTCTGAAATCAATAAAAATATATTTTAAGAAAAGAAAAGAAACATCAATGATGAGAGAAAAACATCTATCTACCACTTCCCGCACGCCCCCTACTGGGAGTCAAGCCCACGCTACCTCGACATAGGCCCTGGCCAGGAATCGGACCAGTGACCTCTTGGTTCATGGGTCTATGCTCAACCACTGAACCACATTGGCCAGGCCAGGATTGTTTTTGGATCAGAAGAGTTCTTAATATATTCTGGATATTACCTCTAATATCATGTATTTGGCAAATATTTTCTTTCATTCTGTGGGCTGCTGTTTATCGATAGTGCCTTTTGATATATAAATTTTTAAAATATTCATGATGTCCCGTTTATCTGTCTTTCCTGTTGTTGACTGTGTTTGATGTTACATACAAGAAATCCTTGCCCATTCCAGTGTTGTGAAGCTTTTACTCATGTTTTCTTTTAAGAGGTTTATAAATTTAGCTTTTATATTCAAGTCTCTGATCTATTTTGAGTTATTGTTATTGTTTTTGTATATACTATTAGATAAGGGTCCAGCTTCATTCTTTTGTATGTGAATATCCAGTTCTCCCAGCACCATTAGTACAAAAGTCTTTTCCACATTGAATGGTCTTGACAACCTGTTGAAAACCAACTAGGACAGCTAGGAATGTCTTTTTTTTCTTCTTTTTTTTTAATATATTTTATTGATTTTTTACAGAGAGGAGGAGAGAGAGATAGAGAGTTAGAAACATTGATGAGAGAGACACATTGATCAGCTGCTTCCAGCACACCTCCTACTGGGGATGTGCCTGCAACCAAGGTACATGCCCTTGACCGGAATCGAACTTGGGACCTTTCAGTCCGCAGGCCGACGCTCTATCCACCGAGCCAAACCGGTTAGGGGGAATGTCTTAAAAATTAAACAGCAAAGCCAGCCTGGGGTCTTGAACACAGAATTAGAGCTGAATGAACAAGGGCTCGTAGCCTTGAATTGTTTTTTACCTCTTCCTCCTGGTTACCTCCCACATTCCATGATTCACAGAGAATTGCCCTTTCTTCCTCAGTGATAGCAGGCTACACCCACACTGCCCAGTCCCCGTGGCCACAACCTTTGATCTCTCCCCAGTGCAGTTTTTTAAGCACTGTGTTCATTACACCACCCAGGAATCTTCAGAAATGCCCTTCTGCTTATATTATGATGATAGCCACACTTTAAGCAAATTAACTGTTTGTCATTCATATCAGTTCTCACACTTCAGTGTACCAGTGAATCTAGGGTGTTAATGTAAAAAAACCATTGAAACCTGTAGAGAATTTTTGTGAGTTTATTTGAGCCAAACTGTCGACATATGCCGGGAAGCAGAACCTCAACGAATTGAGATAATGCTCCGGAGGATGGCGGGTTACATTTGTATTTATACATTGCAATCAAAGGAGGGACGTAGGTGGGTTACATGAAATTCATTGGTAATAAGATTAAGGAGGAGGGATAAAGCAAAGCGGGGCGTGGCAGGGGGAGACCCTGGGATTGGATAAAAAGTAAAATGATGGACACTTAGGTGGGTGCAGGAACAATTAACATGAAAATGAAGGGATTTGTGGTATCTGTCCTGGTGTCCAGCACATTTGGTTGTGCCCCAAGGGCTCCAGAAAAAGGGAAGTTATAAAGTTACCCAGACGCCCTAGCTGGTTTGGCTCAGTGGATAGAGCATCAGCCTATGGACTGAAGGGTCCTGGGTTCAAATCCAGTCAAGGGCATATGCCTGGTTTGTATTCTTGAT